GCGGTTCATCCATATGATCCTGGTCCGCCATTTGCAAATCTCCCGTGTGGTCTATGCCTTGCGGGGTTAAATGCAAAAGAAGAATGAGAAATTTAATGGTTTCAATCTGCCCTTGCTTTTTCTTTTTCTTTTTCTTTTTGTTTTTATTTTAGCAATGTGCCCGTTTTTTGTTTTTATTCTTTGTTTCGCAAAGTGAGCTCTTTTAGTTTGTAGTTATGTGACGATATATATATTTGACGATATATATATATATATCGTCACAAATAGAACTGCATATATATATATATATATATATATATATATATATATATCGTATATATATATATATATATCGTATATATATATATATATGTATCTGTTTGTGACGATATACCTCCACTGTGCCTCTCACGTGCAAGGCTCGCCCTGCCAACCGCCGACCCCGACTGGCAACCGTTTTGCAGCCGACCAGTAGGGCCGACCGATCGGCGGTCTGCCGACCAGTCAGAAAACAGTCATCCACTGAAAGGAGAAAGGAGGAGTGGGAAGGAGATTGGAGGAGAAGGTGATAAGGAAAAGGCAGAGTCAAGTCAGCCACTGCCAACGGTTGGGCTATTCTCTCTCCAGGCGATGGAAAGGTATAAGAGTGCTATCGGGATGCCCTAAGGAAGCCAATTGCCACAGGCAGCAGAGACCGAGAGCCAAGCTCTGCAGGCTGCCATAACTGACGTTGAGGGAGAAGAGAAGCAAACTGAGGCGGCGGAGAGGATAGAGAATGAGCATTAGGCCATGGCACAAAAGATGCAGGAGGTGGAGCAGAGAAAGAAGATGCTGCCGGATGGGGCAGCACTGGTTGAAAAAATAAAATCCCTGGATGAATGAAGAAACCACCCCTGACTTTGCCCTCCTATCTCAGTTGGCCCTCCACTCCTCCAATGAGACCGCCACCCTGCACCTGCTGTTAGAAATAAACGATTCGGCGAAAGAACAAGATAGGTTATAGGTGGGACGCCAAGCTCTCTGAAACCTATAGGATGGTCCATAGCACATACCAAGAGTATCCTGCACACCTGGCGGATTTCTGCAAGCGGGAGATTAATAAGAAGATGGTGAAGAAGGAGCCTGATGCGGGAAATGGCGAAGATGATGATGGAGATGGAGACCTAAGGGGAAAAAGCAAGGAGGAGATTCTGACCGGGAGAGTAGGGGACAAGATTGGAATCAAGCGCCCTTCCACATAGGGAGAGAATATTCGACAATGGGAGGCGGCTTTCAGAACGTACTTGTGGGCCCAGAAGATCCCCTACTGGGCGCAAGTGTTGATCATGATGTCATGCCTAAGTGGGGAGGCACTGAACCGCGCTATGTTGCAATCGAAGGTGGCACGGTGCGGGAGAGATATGGTGAGATATTCCACCACAGTCGATTTGTGTTACAATCCTTCCCAATTTCGAGGTACAAATTCACGAGAGAGCACAATCCCGTCCAAGTGCAAAAAGAAATGAATGAACTCGAGAGGAGAGAGAGAGTAAGAAGAAGAAGAAGAAGAAGAAAGAAAGAAGAAGAAGAAGATGTATACCAGAAAAGACCAATGATAATCCCCCTTCTCCTCGCCAACCAAACTCCTCCTCCTTTTCTCCTCCCTATTATTCAAACAATAAATAATAATAATAATGATGAATGACAAACCAGAATCAATGTCCGAGTCCCTCTTCTACTCCCAGCACAACTTGAGGTCCACCATAGCCATGGCCGCCTCCCTCTTCCTCCTTCCTCCAGGTTGAGGCTATGGCGGACTACTAAGGGCCTTGCCCTGATGTGCAAAAGACGACGCAAAGCAGCTATGGCCTCTTCCTCTCAGGTCGCCATGCCTGACTCTGCCTCGAAGCTTCTTGGTGCAGCTCTAGCCCAACGGGGGCCTTCCAGATGCAGTGCCCACCAAGGTGATGAAGATGGTGTCCACCATAGCCAGGTAAGTACCCCGGGCGCTCCCCTCTCCTAGTCCCTTCTTCCTCCTCCTCCTACCCGAGCTCCTCCACCATAGCCAGGGTGGAGAGCTGAGCGCCCTTCTTCCCCGCACAGCGCTGCACACTAGCGCTGCTCCGCCAGCGCTCCAGCAGTGTGACGTCCAAACTTGCATGCAGCAAATGAGGAGGAGTTCTTTGCTCCTCCTGGAGATATAGCGGCCAACTTGCCTCTTGAGCGGTGACTTCCAGGCCGCGCAGCCTCCAAGCAACTGGTACCTCCTCCCTTTCAGAGAAAAGCATCATTGCAGACTCTGATATCGCCTGCACAGGCCCTGGTACCCGCCTAGACCTAGCCTACAACTACTTGGCCTCTAAAAATGCCAACTTTTTGTCTTCTGCTCGGCGCCATTCCCCGACACATCTACCGCTAGTTAAGTGGTACCGGCCTACCTGCTACTTGAGTGTTTTTCCCAGCTGCTCTAAGTGTTGTGGGCCTACACCCGCTACTTGAGTGTTTTCCCTGCTGCAACCCTTAATGTCAAGGCCACAGGTAAGTACCAGCCCTACGGGGCCTTTGAAGCAAGCAAATACCCTTGCGGGTCACACACACACTCAAGCCGACAAGCACTCGAACAGGCACGCAGACCAGCAAGCATGCACACACACAGACTTAAAAAACTCAGGAGAAAGCGGGAATCTCAGCAAGGCATTCATTGGAGCGGCAAAACTCAGAAATCAGCTCTGTTCTCAGCCCGTGTCTGGGCAGGTCCTTACATTTGAATGAATTCTTATAGGGATTGTTTGACCGCTTCAAGAATAAAAGCCGCGCTAGGCAAACCGAGTGGGATATCCTCAATATCAAGCAGTGACAGTGGAAGAGTGTGGCAGCACTGAAGGCCACCATAGACGAGCTGCTTCAGGTCAAAGATCATGGAGTCACTCGCTCACAGATCCTTAATCATTTCGCATTGGCCCTGCCCGATCCCCTGAAGTCCCAATTATATGTAAGTCCCAAGAGCCGGGATAGACGCATGAGGCCTTTAGTAAGTACGCTTTAGAACAGGCCGGTTTCCTGCAGCAAGCTAACCTCTACTTCTGTAAGGACCTAGAGAAGGGGAAGAATTGGCAAGGCTAAACCATCTTTGGTAATATTCAAGGAAAGGTCCGAAAGGATAGCCTTTTAGTAACTTCTGACGGAAGTGGGGTAGAGGAACTGCACTACGAGCAGATGGACTACGGACTAGATATGAGAGCCACGTAGTCTAGGGAGGGGATTGTGCGGCTGTAGTTGCCTGCATGGAAGGGCGTGGAGGAGGTCCTCGTCATGGAGGCCATGGCAGGGGTAGAGGAGGACAAGGCCCTCCAGCCCAGAGGAATGTAAACTTTGAAGGCTGCCAAGCCAGAGGGAAGGGGTTATGGTTCCCCGCAAGGAGGCAGACACGGCTCTTATCCCCAAGGTGGAAGAGGTGGGAACTTTATTCTCGCCAACAGCAGAGGAGGTGGAGGTAATTTCCCACCTCGTGGCCTGGGAGATTCCTGCCAAACCCAGAGAGAGAAGAACGAGAGCCCTGGAAAGCTATGAAGATGTCAAAGATGCAGTGGACAAAAAGGTGAGAAGAGCGGACATATTTTAAGTGTGGGGATATAGGTCACATCATCCCACTTTGTCCTCATTTGCAACAACAAGGGGATGGCCAGTAGAAATGGGGCAAGTAGCAGTTGCTTCTACATTGACTTTTGAGTTTTGATAGGTAGATAGAGGTGCGCGCTAAGAAGACACCCTCATGCTCAGAGTCTGCGAAGGCAGTAACCTGATGTAGGCCCCCACCTAGATAGTTGTTCGAAGCCTATTTGTGTTAGGGTCTCTTTAGGTGGCTCCTTTGCAGGCATCGGTGATGATCAAATCACTCATCACCAAGCTTGGGCCGAAATGAAGAGAGGAGATTGAAGGCAACTAATTTTAGCAAATGTAGAGGTGAAGAAAATGAGAGTAGGCGCATTGGTTAACAACGGATCGACTAAAAGTTATATTAGTCCGAAGGGATTGAAGAAACTGCATCTAGGAATGTATCGACATTGGCAGACAATCGGGAGCTGAAAAAGAATATGTTGAGGGGATCCAGGCACACTTCCAGTTGGAGGGAGGGAGGCATACTTCCGGTTCGAGGGAGGGCAGAAGGTAGAGAAGGTGTTGCATTCCTTGGCCCTTATAGTGGAGCACAACGTACGCTTTGACTTGTTACTAGGGATAAACTAGGGAAAGGCGACGAAGGCGGATGTTATGTTGGGCAAGCATGAGTGCTGGCTGCCCAGCCGTGAAGGTAGTAAGAAGAAAATCAGATTGTTCCACAAGTCCGAACTGAAGTCCCCCTTGGCCCTAAGTTGCACGAGTGCACCTGCGTTCGTTAGGCATGTAGCAAAGCAAAGTTAGTAGGCCAGATGTTCGTGGCGTACATGAAACCGGTAAGGGAAGGCAAGAAAGAGGAGGAGGTACCGCCCCCGATAAAGTCTCTACTAGAAGAGTATGCAGATGTAGGGGAAGCACCTAGCAGAGTGGTAGAAAGGGAAATAAAGCACTGGATGGAGATTGAGGCTGGGAGTAAGATTCCAAAGCAGCTGATGTATAAAAAGTTTCCTCAAGAATCGAGAGTTGGAAGAATTGTGGGAACAGTTGGATGGGTTGATAGAGACGGGGTGGATCAAACCTAGCTCATCGTCGTAAGGTGCACCGAATTTGTTTGTCCCCAAGAAAGAAGGTGAACTGCGCATGTTTATAGATTATAGGGGACTGAAAGCAATTACGGTGAAGAATTTTGAACAATGCCTAGGATGGATGACCTGCTAGACCAGCTGCGGGGATGCAAGTAATTTTCAAGGATAGATATGAAATCGAGGTACAAGCAGATTGGGGTGCATCCCGAAGATCAGCATAAGACTGCGCTCTCAGGACCAGGTACATGCATTACAAGTTTGCAGCCATGCCATTCAGATTGACAAATGCCCCTACAACATTGCGAAAATGTATGAACGGCCTGTTTAGGAAGTGGCTAGATCACTTCTTTAGTAGTCTACTTGGATGACATCTTACTGTTCAGTAAGACTCAAGAAGAGCATCGAGAACATTTGCAAAAAGTAAGACTCAAGAAGAGCATCGAGAACATTTGCAAAAAGTCTTGGAAAGGTTGAGGGAGAATAAATTTAAGATAAACAGGAAAAAGTATGTGTGGGCCAAGTGCCAAATACTGTATTTTGGCCATGTAGTGGACAGGGATGGAGTTAGACCAAAGGATGCAAAGATTGCAGCAATCCATGACTGGCCTACACCGCGAATATTGGTTGAGTTACGGCCGTTTCTAGGCCTAGTCAGCTGCTATCGGAAGTTTGTGCAGAGCTTCGTTACCATTGTTGCTCCGCAGAGGAAACTATTGAACAAAGAAACAGCGTGGTTGTGGGATAAGGACTGCACCTCCGCGTTTAAGAAACTGAAGGAGTCGTTGATAGAATACCCCGTTCTAAAATCAGTTGACCCCTCATTACAGTTCATTGTAACTACGGATGCGAGTCAATACGGAATAAGCGCTATCCTGCGACAAACTAATAGAAACGAGTATAGACTAGTTGAGTTTATGTCTAGGCGACTACCATCAGTGAAGGTAGCCACATCCACGTATGAAATAGAGTTGTTTGCGTTGAAAGAAGCACTAAAGAACTGGCAACACTACTCGTTAGGACGACATTTCAAAGTATATTCCAAACATGAGACATTGCGACAGCTGAAAACGCAGGCTAGGATGTCCACAAAATTGGCTAGTTGGGCTACAGATATCGATAAGTTCGACTTTGTACTGTAACCAGTCAAAGGAAAGTACAATGTTGTCATGGATACATTACCCAGACGGGCTGATTTCTTCGGTGTCATCGTTACTTACCTCAACGCTGTACACGAACTGCAGCAAAAAATCGAAGCTGCATACACAAATGACCCCTACTTACATTCCATGCAGTTCTGGAGTACAAAATAACTAACAGACTGTAATTCCAGAAATCGGATGGTGAACCAAATAATCAAGAGATTCGTAGCTTGATACTCTGTGAATACCATGATACAGAAGGGCACTTCCGTGGGAGGAAGACCTATGCGAACGTACTGCATTCCTATGTGTATACCAGCATGAAAAGTGATTGTATACTGTATGTCTGGAGTTGTAAGTTTGTCACTGCAACAACAGTACGACGCAGCCCAGCTAGGAGTGCCCCTCAGCAGCGGCCTTCAATGCTATTGTCAAGCGGTTGCGTCATTGAGCTTTGTCGCGTGGGCTGCTTCCTTGCAGCACAGGAGGCTTCGGAAACAGCTTCCATAGCCGTGGCAGTTACTTTTCTGCCCGGCAGTTACTTCTATAGCCGGCCTTCACTTAGGACCAGGGCAACTCGGTGCAGGCGGCCCCTGCTGGGCGCCGCAAAGAGACAAAGAGAGGAGAAAATAAAGAAGCGAAGTGATGATGGAGTTGACAGGAAAAAAGAGCCCAGCCTTCCTTGCATAAAGAAACTCACCCACGCTTCCTAATGTTATAGCCAATGGACCCTCAGACTAGGGCATTGATTGCTTCCCTTGGAAGGATTTAACCCAGTTTCACCCCTGCATTCCTTCTATCTCTATGTTGTGTTCCTCTCTTTGTCTTCCGTCTGCACATCTCCTCTCAGTCCTAGATGGTCGCCACATTCAGTAGCTTATAACTAGAGCTAGTCCTGCAAGTGTACTATTGCTGTCTCTAGTATCCGCACTTTCTGCGCTCCCTATCTGCCGGGCTCTATTTTGGAAATGATACTTGGTTGTCAGCCCATCTACCTCTCATGACTTGTATAATGTCCAACGAGTGGGATGGTAGGCTCTGGACACTCAGACTATGTGAGGTCTTGGATTGCGCTTGACTAGGGGCTTTCCAAGTACTCTGTACTGAAACAGGCAGACCACCAAACCAGACCATCAAGAACCACCAAATTACCAGAAATCGGGTAGCCATGGCATTGAGTGTCCCCTAACAACACCCCAAATCAGCACAACAATACTCCTTCTCCCTCCCACTCTATCATGCCATGAGCACTGTCTGTCACCTGAGCAGAAGAAGAAGAGGAAGACAACAGCAATCATTGTCAACCATTGACATCATCAACATCTCCTAGGTCAAGCGACACAATTGATTCGCCAGCAGGGTTTCTTTTCTGGCCGGCTGCAAGACCGTCACACGGAGCAACCCAGAGCACCACCAGTTCTCATGGCTGTCTCGGTCACTGGGGAAGTGACCAGTAATGAAAATACTGCAATGTCTCTTACTTCATGCTGGTAGAGATGGTGGTTCAGGGTGGGGGAGTGTGATGGGCTGGACCCTGAAGAGGTCTCTAACGGACCTACTACAGCCAACTGTCATCAGTCTTGAGACCTGATACGCGGGAATCGTTGGTAAATACCTTCATGATATCTCCTCCATATTGTAGGACCAGGTCTGTTGCCTGCAACCGGTTTAAAAGCAACAAGGAAGTAAACAGCCAAACTTTTCCAAAGAGATCCCCCCCTGACGTTTCCTTAGCATTTCCTCAGTATTGCCACACCCAGTTCTTAACAGTGACAGTTACGTCGGCGATAGAGATTCCTCCGCAGACAGACGCCACAAGCCACAACAGAGCCATTACACACAAGAACACCGTTGACGGAATCATCAGCTTCCGAGCAGATTTTGGCTGGATTTATTCTTCTGATTTTTTTCCCCGTGTGTTATATGTGCTTTAGGGTACGTACTGCGTCGTGTATTCAATTTTTACATATTCGGACCAATAGAGAAAAAGTTGACATTTTGTTGAAATCGTTGAATGCATATTTTAACTCGGAATGTGCTTTGTGTTAGGGTTTTGTAGCGATTTTGTGCTTTTTAGTTCCTGTTTTTTCGCCTGTTTGGTTTTTCTATGTTCGTACTAACTTCGTAAGTTCGTAGTACTTTCTACTATGAGCCCCTATTGTTTTGTGTCAAAAGTTTCCAACTATGTTGCTTGTGGTGACCCGGCAAACAGTGAATTTTCAAATTTTCAACCTTCCATAAACCTTCTCCCATAATTCCCTGAATATCTCAGAGGAATGCTGCTACCATGTGTGAATGTCACTGCATCAGGTTTTTTATTGCCAAATCCAAAAGACTGTCAGTTGAGCCACGAGTCCAACCGAGGGAATTTTCACCTGGAGAAAAATCACCCATTGAGTTTGTTTCAATGTAGCTGCAGCTCAGCCGGTATACTGAAAGCATGGCCTCCTTATGCATGGATGAAAGTTTCTGAGGTAGGGTCCTTGGACTGGTGTTTTTTTTTTTTTTTTGAACCCAAACACACACTCAACCCCTTCCATTCTGGGGGGCACTTGTATTATTCACGCAACTTCACAGACAGATGACTGTACGATTTAATTGTCACACAACACTTGCTTTTTTTTTTTTTTTTAATAACACTTGCTTTTGCCTGAACTCGTGGAGATAATTCGAAAAGAAAAGGACATAGACAGTGGCATCAATTTGACAGTTGCCGATTCCAAGTAGGTTGCTTGGAAGAGCCCAACAACACGCCTGGGATGAGGTCCCACCGTCCCACTCACCTGGATTCTTCATTTCCAACAAAAGTTTCTCAAAGGCCGGCGACCGGCGATAAAGAATCCCGCCCGGTAAGTGGGACCTTGGCCCTGTATTCCAGATGCAAACTGGTTTCACTAGCACTTCCTTTTTCTTTTTGTTCCCTTTGAACTACCAGTCCCTTTCCCAGCTATTTGGTTCTGACGCAATGGTTAGCCCACTGTGTCAACAGGGGATCTACCTACCAAACCAAAATGGCTGGCAGAGCCAGGCAAAAATAAAATATTTCGCCCCTGCATCGTTTCCCTTGTTTTGGCGTGCAGCAGCAATCCGGGCCGGGAAAGACAGGCTTGGGAAGACTGGTGGTTTAACAGAGTGTAACCTCTAGCAGCCACATGTGCATACACATTCAACCTCATGTGACCTCATTATTCCCCAGGCCCTGCTCAATAGACCTGTTTCCTTCTGCAACCCTCACATTTCTCACCTTCCCGTCTCTATCTATTTTACTTTGGATTTATCCTAGCATCATGGTTACCGGGCCGAACGTTCGGGGGCCCCCAGGCTGACCCCCAAACGTCATCCTAGCATCATGGTTACCGGGCCAAACGTTCGGGGGGCCCCGGGGTGTTCGGGCGTTCGGGGTCCCGTTCGGGGTCCGAACCTGAAGGGGTTCGGCCCCCACCAAAAGATATTTTGGGACCTAAACATTATTTGTTTTTGTTGATTTTTTAGGGGGGGAGTTCTGTATGACATGCGCGACATGCATATAAATTTGGAAGGAATTTTGCCAAGCCAAAAAAAAATGAAAAATCACCAAAGATAGCAGTGTCAAAACGTGCTCGGCCACTCAGGGTTTTTTTTTTTTTCACTTTTCACTTTTTGTTTTGATTCTATTTGGGGACCTCAAATATTTTATTATTTTTGATACTTTTTTATGAGTTTTATATTATGTGAAATACACATCTGCAAATTTTCAGGGCATTTGGCTAGACCAAGAAAAAATGAAAAATCGGCAAAGATGGCGGTGTCGAAAACGTGCTCACCCACTCACTAATTTAATTCTCTTTTCATTTTTTCTTATTTTTCTTATTATTCTTTGTTTTTCATATTTTATTTTTATTTTAAATTTGGTAAGGAATTCGGATGTAACACTGAGAGTTTCCCAGTAAACCATACGCAAAGAGGGTATATCGTCAAACAGAGTTGCGCAGTAAACCGTAGGCAGAGAGGGAGAAGAGTACAACAAACGAGGGGTTGTGACAAACTGTTTCATCGGAGTTTCACCGACTCATCAGTAGGGTGAACCCTCAACAGTCTGCAGAATCCCCTATCTGATTACAGTGTAAGTGATGATCCACCTTAACCCCGGTTGTGGTTAAGCATCGACTGCCCGACAACTGATACCCTGAGGCGGGCACCAACCACTGCCCTCAAGGTACCTGTGACGAAAATCAAAGCAGATTATCACTCACCCACACCACGTGGAAAATTCTACAGACTGTCGGTTCACATCCCATCACAAGCCAGTTGAGTCGGTGAAACTCCAACGAAACAGTTTGTCACAGCCCCTCGTTTGTTGTCCTCTTCTCTCTCTCTGCCTACGGTTTACCGGGCAGTTCTGTTTGTGATGATATATATATATCGTCACAAACAGAACTGCCCGGTAAAACCGTAGGCAGAGAGAGAGAAGAGGACAACAAACGAGGGGCTGTGACAAACTGTTTCGTCAGAGTTTCACCGACTCATCAGGAGGAAATATATATATATTGTCACATAACTACGAACTAAAAGAGCGCACTTTGCGGAACAAAGAATAAAAGCAAAAAACGGGCACAGTGATAACATGCAAAAATAAAAATATGCAAAAAGAAAAAGAAAAAGAAAAAGAAAAAACAAGGGCGGATTGAAACCATTAAATTTCTCATTCTTCTTTGAACTCCACCTCCACTGTGCCTCTCACGTGCAAGGCTCGCCACGTTGATGAAGTTACATATATATATATATATATAACACTCTGCGACCTTCTCCTTTGCACTGCTACAAACACTGTTACACTCGGCTGTAGCCGCCATCGTCTCTGTCACAATCACTTACAATGACATGGTTTCTGCATCTATGTGTGTAGAGGACTGTCCCTCCGTTCCTGACTGCAGGCACCCCCTGCATCTAGACACTATATGTCCATTTTGGTGGCCATGGGCGCTATACTGAATGCATGGTCTTTTGTGGTGAGCGTTCTTCCTTCATTTTGGCCTGCAATCGACATGCCATTTGTCGGGAGTGTATGTTGGGCAGGCTCAATGCCAGCCATTGTGCCAATTGTTGTGCTGAGAATGCTCAGCTAGGTCTTCCATGTGCCCATCCACCTCATCCTTACAATGTGTGTCCTCTCTGTCGTCAAGGACAGACTCCTTCTTGAGCCTTTTCTTATCCTCACTTTCCCTTTTTCTTTCTTTGTCTCTTCTCTTCATCTCTCTTCCTCGTGTTTATCACATCCCCCTTTACTCTGCCTCTTTCTCACAGCGTACAAGTGGGCCGTTATGGCACACGGGAATGCGGGAATGCGGGAATGCGGGCAGCTCGCACTCAACTTCATCAAAGTGGCGAGCCTTGTACGTGAGAGGCACGGTGGAGATAAAAGAAGAATGAGCAAAATGAATAGTTTCAGTGTGCCCCTCATCTTCGCTTTGTTTTTTTATCTTTACTGTTTGTGTCGCAAAGTGCGCTCTTTTAGTTCGTAGTTATGTGGCAAAATATATATATATATCGTCATATATATATGTGTGTGTGTGTGTGTGTGTGTGTGTGTGTGTGTGCTTGCCTCCCTCCAGCGCTTGAGCTCTGAGCGCAGTGCTGCAGCCTCACGGCGGTGCGAGGAAGAATGAACGAGTCGGCTGGGGCTTATTTGTAGTGTTGACCCAGCTTGGCCTGCTTCCCATTTGCCTCCTGTAGTGGCTGAGATTTCTCAATCTGTGTGGCGAAGATTTGTTGGCGGCCAGTGTGTGCCTAGACCTTGGGGGGCTTGGAAGCTTCTGGAATCTGCACAGTAGACTTTGTTGTTGCTGCTGTCCAAAAAAAAAAGAAAAAAACTTTGGATGTTGTGAGGTCTGTGACCGTTGTGATAAATCTTTGACTCTTCGAGTACAGTGCCCAAGTTGGGCCTAACAGTTTTTTTTCCTTTTTGTTTTTTTCAAAAAGGCCAACAGCCTTGACATACTCGCCCTAGGTAATTTAGAATTATTCACCTAAGTGCATCTGGATTGAAACTCGGGTCTGTATTTCAAGTTCATGGGTGTACCAACCGAGCTGGGCCCGTTGGTATTGGGCCTGACAGTTGGCTGTCCTAAGGCCTGATTTTGACTCTACAGGCACATGGTGCCCCGGTTTTGACCCTTGACCCTGACCCTGCCCCGGTTTTGATCCTTAACCCTGACCCTACCGGCATAAGGGCTTTGTGGTGCCTTTTCAGAGGCTGTGGACGTAAAATTTGACCCCATAACTTTGATGAAACCAAAGTCATGACCCTTAGTTAGTTCTGTGAGGATTTAATCAACTTGGTTCCTTGCACCAGCATTTATGGACAATAGTGGGGAGATTAACCTCAGGCCAGGCAGCTAATCCCTCTCCAAGTGGTGAGGCCATCAGTCCACATTCTGAGAACGACAAATCATCATGGGTAATGGTTGGAAGCATGAAAAAAGAAAAGAGAGAGGAAGGCCCAAGTGGGCTTAGCTCAGTTGGTTAATCTTCATGGGTAACAGTTGGAAGCTTGAAAAAAGAAAAGAGAGAGGAAGGCCCAAGCGGGCTATCTCAGTTGGTTAATCTTCATGGGTAATAGTTGGAAGCTTAAAAAAGAAAAAAGAGAGGAAGGCCCAAGCGGGCTAGCTCAGTTGGTTG